AAAATAATTGTACAGTGTAAATAAAAGTGCAAAAACAAATGACAGTGAAAACGTTGAAAAAGTGTAAAAAAAAACTGTAAATAATCAATAATCATTGTATATACAATCAAATTGACTCGTAAATACGCCTGCATTAATAATTTTATGAAAATCTTAGTTTCATAGTAAATACAAATCAATCATAAATACATTTAATGCAGTCAGTCCTAAGCCTGAATAAAGTATGAAGGGAAGTTAATTTATTGATTTCATTGTATAGCTACAAACTCTTAGATATTGAATAAATTTATTTTCGTTTCTTGTGTAACTGTATACTTGGTGGTGGTGTTTATGCAAACAATCACAGTAGCCGAATAAAAATAGCCAGTTACAAAAATCACTATTTTTAAAACAGGTGACGCCGACCAAGTCACTGGTTTCGTTACGTTTCATGAAAATGACGTAACGACCCACGTCTAGCACATACACTCACGTCATATCAGTCGAGAATAATATTACTTATTAGGTTATTTATAGGTAGTATTATTTGTTTGTTTTGGGTATAATTTTTCGTATGACTTATACATATGTTTGTTGTGTTTTTTACTGCGCGATGAAGCTTTTTGCGTGTATTTTCTTTGAAGTAAATGCAAATAAAAAAATGAAGCACCATTAGCATGTAAGGTTCGAATCCATAATTAAAATTTCGACAAATATTATAATTTACACTATAAAAGGCTAATTGAATATTATCACCCAACCACAATATCTTATTAAGTATAGTACTGCCTCGTTGGTCTAGTGGTTGTAGTAGTGCGACTTCTGATCATGAGGTCCCGGGTTCGAATCCTGGGTCGGGCCAAAAAGTCAGTTATGAGTTTTTCATTTATGTTCTAAGTTATAATTAGTATTACTAAGTTATAGTTTTTTTGCTAAAATATAGTATATTATTTATTGCTTGTTTTTTCTTCTTTTTCAAAAAATAATTGAGTACATAAGGTGTTCTATACTTATAATTCGGTAAAAAGTATCTAAGTAGGTACTAATATACCTACTTTTTACTATTAACTAAAAATTTTTAAAACTAAATTTAACTAAAAAGACTAAACTGACCATTTATTTTTTAACTCAAAACAGGACATGGGTTTATTTATACTTTAAAAACTATAACTTTATACAATTAGTGTTCACTGTAAAATTATATTCGGTATAGACGGTAATTATTAAATGCAACATATTTTTTTTAATTATTAATTAATAATAATAATAATAATAAATTTTATTAGAACTCAAATAAATGTTACACTTGTTCCGATTGAGCCCTAACTCCTGAACTAGGAATCCTGTATGTCAGGAGCTAGTCCCTTCCATTACATTATGCACAAACATTATTAACATTAATTATACATTTCAATTTAATTTAATTATACCTAATTATATTTAATTATATTCTACTTTATTTTATTTAAAATTGACAAGAACAGTTTACATAAATTATTAAATTCAATTAAAGATAAACATTAAAAAAAAACCAAATATAAAAAAAAAGGATAATAATATGTGGTATTGACTAAGTAATATGACAAATGTGTGGATGCATGTATGTGTTTTGTGTATGTTATAATTTGTGAAGTAGTGTATATATATGTTTAATCAATTCTTAAGTATTTACGTTCAATAGATTTTCGCAGCTGTCATAATCGTGTTCATTCAGCCACGACAAAAGTAAATCTTTTATTTGTTTGTTGTTAAGTTTCCTTAGTTTTATTATTTTGTTTAACTTATTATATAAGTGTGGGGCCTGAAAATCATAAAATTTCCTAGCATACGGCGTTCTAAAGTTGGGAATGGGATAGTTATCAACCCTCTTTTCTGTTGTTGGAAAAGTTGGCGCAGTAACACAATGATATCTCATTATGCTGTGAAAAACATAGGTCTTACGTATACTTAATACTTTAAACTTTTTATATACTGATGTGGTAGGATACTTGTAGGGCAAACACATGATAACTTTTAACAAACTTCTCTGTGCGCGTTCCAATTCAATCATATGTCTTTTATGTGTCCCTCCCCAAGTACAAACACAGTAAGAAATTAAGCTATGACAAAGCGAATTATAAATTTGTAACATTAGGTCTTTGTTAGCAATCACGCGTAATTTTTTAAAAAGAAAAATAAGTTTCCTAACTCTCTTGGCTACATTTTGAATATGAAACTTCCAGCTTAGTGTGTCATCAACATGAACGCCTAAATATTTTAAAGTGTTCGTTCTTTCTAATACAGCACATTTACAGTCGCGAATCTCCTTAGCGTTTCTATTACACGGGTAAGTGTGAATTTTTATGCTATAATCGTTTTGTGGAGCAAAAATTCTTTGTTTTGAAAAACAGATGTATTTTGTTTTAGACACATTTATCGTAAGCAGATTGTTCTCAAGCCAAGTCGTCACTGCTGATAATCCACATTCCGCTCGTTCCTTCACTATTTTCCAGTTGGAACCTTGATAAAGTAATATTGTATCATCAGCATACATTTGCACCTCACCACCACAAACATTTAATTCACACAACGGGTTGATGTAAGCCAGGAACAGGCTTGGACCAAGTGTACTACCCTGTGGAATACCGTAGGTACATTCCGCACTGCTACTGATGTAGTTACCGACCCGGACCATTTGGCTCCTATCAGATAGGTAATCTCTAAACCACGCCAATGGAAGACCCCTTACGCCAAGATTCTCTAGTCTTGATAGAAGCACGGGTATCGATACGGTGTCAAACGCTTTTTTTAAATCGAGGAAAATACCTAGACATTTGCTACCTTTATCCAAGTAAGAAAGTACTTTCGATGCCAACCTAAGTGTGGCATCCGCCGTAGAACGTCCAGACCTAAAACCCAATTGGTTATCTGACAGTAACTTATTACGTTCCAAAAATCCTATTAATCTTTTGTTTACTATCTTCTCTAAAATTTTTGATAATGTTGATAACAGAGAAATAGGTCTGTAATTAGATGGAACTAGCACGTCACCCGCTTTATAAACTGGTATTACAATGGCTTTTTTAAATAATGATGGAAATACACCATTTTCAAAGCTAAGATTATACAGATGTGCTAATGGCTCACAAAGTACGTTCATATTATTTTTAACCAATTTTGTACTAACTCTATCCCAACCAGGTGCACTATTATTTTTAAGAGTAGTAATCGTTGATTTTACTTCCAAAGGGTCTGTATAAAATAGCGATAAGGAATGCATTGGCCCAGTTTTAATTGCTTCCTTTGCGAGCTCGGCTTCAGTTTTATTCATCTTGGTTAGTGTGTGTGATGCTAAGGTACTGCCTACGGAGGTAAAAAACTTATTAACCTGGTTTAATGATTCCACTGGGGTGGCTTCGATTTCAGTAAGTTCCGATGAGCCAGATTTTCCATGAGTGAGGTGACAAATTTCCTTAATTATTTTCCAAGTTTCTTTTACTTTACCTTTATTTATTTCAAGTTGATTTCGATAGTATTCCGCTTTTAATGATTTTATTAGGTTATTGCATATATTTCTATACTTAATATATTCATTTTTTAACTTTATATCGTAGGATGAAATTCGTAGTTTTTTATGCATTCTGTCACGTTTTCTTATTGATTTAACAACACCTGGTGTAATCCAGGGTTTTAATGGTTTATTCCTGTTAGCGATTTTTGAGTAAATTGTATTTCTCTCAATTATGTTTTGTAAAGAAGAGATCAATATATCTGTAGCTTTATTGACATCAGTAGCTTGATATAAACTATCCCACGCGGTACTCTCAATATCCTTATTTATTTTCTTAAAATCTAAATTTTCTTTAGTGTAAGACCACAAAGTTACATTTTTTTTTAATTTTTCCATAACTAATAGTATCGGTGAGTGATCTGTAAATTCTTCGTATACAATAGTTTGAACAAAATTGTTAGTTTTGGCCATAAAATGGTCTAGACACGTTTTCTTTCTGGTTGGTAAATCTATACATTGTTTGAGGCCATATGTAGCCATCATATTAACATAGTCCGCAGAATAGCCTGTCAACTTTTCTGGCATTATATCTAAATTTACATCACCTGTAAAAATTATATTAGTACAATTGAGACAGGATATAATCTCGCTAATTGACTGGAGGTACTTAGTCGGATTTTGAAAACAGGGTGGTCGATATGTACACAGAATAGAAATATCATCTTTAAGTTTTAATACCAGCATATTTCCTTCATGACATGTAGGTTCGTATGAAGATACTTGAAATATATCTTTGACGTATGCGATTACTCCATCATTTTGATTAATTAGGTGCTTAGTGTGAAATACCTTATATCCGTCAATTTCTGGTATATTGAAATCATTGTTTAACCAGCACTCCGTCATAACAATTACATCTATCGATAAATTTAAGCGTGTCACAAAAACAAGAAATGAATCAAAATTACAGTTAACACTGCGAATGTTCACTGTAAGGACACTGAGTGATACACAATTTTCTCTCCTATTAAGCAGAACACTTGTAGTGTTGTCAGGGATCGACAAACTTATACAGGAATAATCCTTAGTGTTATCTATATCCGCGCAAATATTATCCCTAATTCGATCCATTATATTTAATTAATAAATTTACACTTGCACCGTTCATTGCAACTCCCAAACAAAAACAAAAATGTGTAATTAAAATATGCATAAAACAGTAAACAAAATGTGCAGCAATGTTCATGCAAAATGTAACTAAACTACTGTAAATACTCAAAACTACTCCGTAAAAGATGTATATTGTCATATTAAATATCCTAGTAAAACATACCAATATTTTACCTAAACGACACAGAAAGAGTTTTTTTTCATGTACAGTAAAATATATTGTGTAAGTGTTCGTGCATGTGTGTTTTTTTGTGTTTTGTTTTAACGGCAAAATTATAAATATTCTAACACTTTTATTGCTTATTACAACTAATACAACTATTAATAACTTACAAGATATTTGATTTATACATAAATATAGTCATTGTTTTTTTCTCAACTTTGCAATATCTTCCTCGCAGTTAACTCGTAAGAATTGGGCACCATCAGTTTTCCTTAAGAAAATTCTTCCATGCGCAGACCAGCAATATTTGTATTTATACGCAGCTGCAAATTCCCGTGCCAGGAAGAATAACCTTCTTGTTCGCGGTGGAAGATTTTCTGAGACATATATTGGCATTTTTGGCCCGGTGATTTGTAAATGTCCTGTATTAAGTTTTTCATTTTTGTGTTCCTTATTAAATATCTTTATATTTTTCTCTATTTTTTCTTTCAATAAAACGGAGGTAAACTCGACAATAATCGACTTATTTTGTGATTTCCCATTGATACGGAACACGTCATATACGTCATGATATTGAATTGGTAGACTAACCGCTTTGCTTAAGTTAGCTACTATGTTAAATAAGTCATTTTTTGTTTCACCTGATTGTTTAGGCACATTGTGAATTTCTAGACTAGATGACCTGGTAAGGCGCTCCAACTGCTGTAATTTTTCATCTAACAATTATTATTTTTTATTATTATTATTACAGCCCTTCACAAGTCCACTGCTGAACATAGGCCTCCCCCAAAGAATGCCACAAAGCACGGTCCTGAGCCACCTGCATCCATCGACTTCCTGCAAATCTTACCAGGTCGTCACTCCATCTAGTGGGGGGACGCCCTACACTTCGCCTGCCGGTACGAGGCTGCCACTCGAGAACCTTTCTTCCCCATCGGTTGTCGGTTCTTCGAGCTATATGGCCGGCCCATTGCCACTTCAGCTTACTAATCCGTTGGGCTATGTCGGTCACTCTAGTTCTACTGCGGATATCCTCATTTCTGAGTTTATCACGCAGAGAAACTCCGAGCATAGCCCTCTCCATAGCTCGCTGAGCGACCTTGAGCTTCCTCATCCGGCCAGCAGTGAAGGACCACGTCTCAGTTCCGTATGTCATCACTGGCAACACGCACTGGGTGTACAGTCTCGTTTTCAAGTTTTGAGGTATACCTGACGAGAAGATGTGCCGTAATTTCCCGAACGCTGCCCAACCGAGTTGAATCCGTCGATTGACCTCTCGGTCGAAGTTGGACTTACCTAGTCGGACTATTTGTCCCAGGTAAACATACTCGTCAACAACTTCGAGCTTAGTGTTCCCAACAACTACCGGCATAGGTGTGACATGGACATTAAACATGATCTTTGTTTTGTCCATGTTCATCTTAAGACCTATCCGTTGGGAAACACTATTGAGGTCATTGAGCATAGTGCTTAGGTCCTCCAGCGATTCTGCCATAAGGACTATATCGTCGGCAAATCGAAGGTGAGTGATGTACTCGCCATTGATGTTGATACCGTATCCTTTCCAGTCCAGAAGCTTGAAAACATCTTCCAATGCAGCGGTGAAGAGTTTCGGGGATATGACGTCACCCTGTCTTACACCTCTCTGCAATTGGATAGGTTTCGTACTCTGGTTCTGTACTCGGATAGCCATCGTAGCCCTACTGTACAAGCACTTCAACACTTCGATATACCGACAGTCAACTTGGCATCGCTGAAGGGACTGCAGCACCGCCCAAATTTCGACGGAATCAAAGGCTTTCTCATAGTCCACATACGCCAGACATAGTGGCAAATTGTACTCCTCGGACTTCTGTACAATTTGCCGAAGGGTATGTATGTGGTCTATGGTGCTAAAGCCCTTTCGGAATCCGGCTTGTTCGGGAGGCTGGAAGTCGTCAAGTCTGCGCGCGAGACGATTCGTAATGACTCTCGAAAACAGCACGTAGACGCGGCTCAGAAGGGAAATCGGTCTGTAGTTCTTCAAGAGAGCGTTGTCACCTTTCTTGAAGAACAAGACCACCGCACTTCTGCTCCACGCCTCCGGTGTAATGCCACCATGGAGGACGGAATTAAAGAGCTTCTGAAGGACTTCAAGTACCGGTTTTCCACCCGCTTTCAGAAGCTCCGCTGTAATTCCATCCTGGCCAGGGGCCTTGCCGTTTTTAAGGTGCTGGAGAGCCATTCTAATCTCGCTCAGACTGACGTCCGGGATAATATCTAACAATATCATCTGCTTTTGGTCATTTGACCTTTCTTCTTCCATTTGTTTTATTTTTTGTATCGCTTCATCATATTTTGCCGCTACAAATTCAACTGATTCCCGCAATTTAATACTTTGTTCCTTCAATTCTTCAAACGCCGATCGTAAAATATTAAAGTTAGCTTGTTGTTCCTTTCTAAATTCTTCTAAGGACTGTGAAAATTTACAGTCACATTCTTGTTGTTTTTTCTCCTTTCTACCTCTTTTCCTTTTAGTACTACATATAATTTTACTTGTTTGTGCTTCGGTGTCCGAGGAGTCATTTAAATAATTTTCTGTTGGATACTGGGTGTTAGTAACAGATGACATTGTGTTCGGAGGAGTGCGTTTTAGAGGCATAGTACAATTACCAGGGCAACAGTAATTTGTATTTTCTATGTATAATTTTGAGTGATTAACTGCTTTAATAAGTTTTAATTATGGCTTAGATTTGTGCAGTTGTACAAAATATTTCTTACCAGAGCTCAGCTAAATTGGCCAATTATCGAGCCGGTCGATCAAATTTTCTTTCCGTCCACTTATAGTAGACCCCTATATCTATTGAGGCGTCAGCTATAGTTTCTATCCTTTTCGAATATCAATTTAAGCGTATAGATGTTTGTCCCTTTTACGTACGCAAGAATAAAACTGTTTAAAAAGTTCACTTTACAGCACAGCCACTGATTTGCCACTACCGCCTATTCACGATTATAATTGTTGCGACTCTTAACTTATTATGCGCTCCTATTTTTTTGTTACGATTAATTTCCTTAAAATGGTATATACATTTAAAATAAATTAAAGCAGAACAAGACAATTGAAACACGACTATTCTCAACGAGTGTCCGAGGGGAAGGGGATTAATTACATTTGTAAGTGGATTAAATTTGCTTTAATAAAGTTGGTGATGATTTTAAATAAAAATAAAATTCTGCTCAAGTTTTTTTATTGTTATCTTTGTTAACAACATCGCCTTTGGAACTCTGGAACCGTAAGTGTTTCTTTCAGACGTCCACAATTTATTCAAAATAAAAAAATACTCTTTCTACCGGAGCATTCGTACCAGGTAGACATAAAATATATTCGATTAAAAAAAATTATGTTGAAGATTGTTGACTTTGAATAGTTCCATCCAACTAGTTACGGGACAATTTTGTGTCCCGGAGCTTTGTTTGGGGACAATGGGACAGGTGACCGAGAAAAGGGACAGTCCCGTTCAAAACGGGACGTATGGTCACTTTAGCTATAACCTGGCGACGGCTCCGTGGCGTAGTGGCTTAGTAATCAGTTGTTGCGCTGGGGGCCGCGGGTTCGAATCTCGCACGGAACAAGTATTTGTATGGCCTACAAATAATTGTTCCGGGTCTGGATGTTTGTCCTTGTGCAATTTATGTTTGTAAACTGCCTCCACGACACAGGAGAAAATCCTAGTGTGGGGGTAACGTTTTTTTACAATTGAAATTGAAAGATTGAACAAAAATCAACAAGAAGTATAATTCTTGTTGATTTTTGTATTACCTTTATTAAAGTTAGCCTTATGTATAAATAAATATAATTACGTATGTAGAAATAAAATTGATTTTCATCCTCATTTTTTAAACTGACAATTTTCAATGCTTCATTTTTAATATATAATTAATTATAAAATTTCATAATTAGATAATATATGAAAATACATAATTCTAATATAATGCAACTAATATACCGAATAAAAAAAATTAAAATACATTTATCGTTGTACGCTGTGTGTATTTCCATAAATTAGTTTATTGATGTTGAAAAAATAATACTACATAATAGGTGGCGTCTTAAATAAGCAATATATTGAAGCGAGCGAGCGGCGTGACGCCGGCAAATGCTCAAGGTCGTTCGCATGGAGTAGCCCCTTAAGCCCAAAAGTTGAAGATATACCTACCACGTCCAGAACCAGTTTAAATATAATAAAGTACAAAAACTCGTACTAACAGTTAGTAGTAATAAAATTAACAGCTAAACCATTTTTGTAATAAGAAATTTTTATGTCCAAAGTTAAAACCTGAGACTAAAATGTTGCGTTTATTATACCATTTGCCCGAGACTATCTACCATCACCTTTTAAAATGAGACGGAACAATGTTTTATTAGAATCATTACGGACAAAATGAAGGAAGGACTTGGACGTTCGCAAATTCAGAGTGTGGTCGTCTTTGACTTACGTGTTATTAATATCCGAAGTTTGAATACATAAGAGGGTACTCGGTATTCGATCTCGTTAAATCGCTTCCTTAACAGTCTCCCTGATACTCGTTATTGCAGATAATAAAAATGGTAGGAAACGATTGAATGTTAGGGAAAATTTAATCATAATTTTGTTATTGAAGCAAGTGCACGATATTTTCGGGTATTCATGCTTATATTGAAGTTATCTATCAAGAAGTAGGTTATTGAAATATAGTAATTAGTAAGTGTAAAATTTTATTTCATAGAAGGCAGATTATACATAAATCATCAGTCATATATGTGTTATCAACCTTGTTAATACTTATGTAATAAATGTAGGAATTTACTACAAAATAAAATTTTGTTTTTATATTCTATGCAGTGATCTGACTACTAGTATGGTTTTTATTATCAGCCAGTAGAGTTTCCATTTGCCGTAATTTCTACGCTTTGCGGACGAATTTTCTGTCCTAGTAATAAATGTAGGATACCTTCACTTTTGCGAACTCACTCTGTGAACACGAAAATAAATCCAACTTCTTAGCAACCAAATTTAGTATGTGTATCGTTCGCGTGAGAGGGGTGCTGCGTACCAGTTTATTCCAGTAAATTTTATCTATTTTATATATTTAGTACCTGTTTATCGCCGTACGTCAGCAGTCGCAAAATCTTTCAGCGGTGTCTCTGAGTAACCTATAACCTCCTATATTCCTTTACCGCCAATCCACGACTATATATATATATATATATATATATATATATATATATATATATATATATATAGCTATAATATTTCCAAAATCAGAAACCTTTGAATTATTATCAAAAATTTTATATTTAGAGAACGTAGGGCAGGACGGATATGATAGGAAAAACGGGAAATGGCCTAGCGCAGCGTTAATGGAAGCGTCAGACGACACGTTTAAGTACGTATAGTACTACAGTATTTCCTCCGTAGACAAATATGTACGGTGCAATTCGCTAGCTACCTCAGTGTACAGGGCCCGAAATAAAAATAAAACGAAGAGTGAGTATGAACTCATTGGTATTTAAGTTTTATGTAAAGCTTGGATGCCACATGCATACCATATTCAGTTTTGACTTGGAAAAAGCAGCAGCAGCAAGATTGAATGTTTTAGGATAATGGCAGAGTATATTACGAGTAATTACGTAAATATTTATACTTTATACAAATAAAATTGAACTGTCTTTCAGTAATATCAAAAGAATTTTCCCTTTATTGAGGGGGTTGTTTGCATGCCATTAAAATATGGGTAAGCATTTTTATTTTTTTGTCTGTATATCTGTTTATCAATCTGTACGGTCTAATCTTAAGAATGGTTGAACCAATTGTAATAACACTGCATGAACAGATAGAGAGCAATACCTATGATCTAGGCTATATTTTATTAGAAAAACTTGGGAATATTTTAAAAATTAATAACGCCACATTAAACACACTCTAGCAAAACCGGGGTGGTTTGCTAGTATTTTAATAAAAGAGGAAAAAATTGTACATACCAATCAATAGGATAACATCAACAAGTAGGAATATTAAAACTTTTCTTTTCTTCTTTATTTCATAAAAAATTTTATCGGTATTCAAACACTTGTTTATAAGAAGTGCTCAAAAGTGTTTAAGCGATAAAACTTTCATTTACTGTCCCTGAGAACATATCCGAAATTTTGATTTTTGTTATAGTTACTAATTGTATCTTCTATATATTCTATCTATTTTTGTTAATAAATTCATTTATTTCTCTCTGCGGGACAGCTTTCTTATTTATTTGTAATTTAATGTAAGTTAGGCTGAATATCAAAGGACACTAAATATTAAATTAAAAAAAATTAAATCAAATAGGTTGTAGGCCGTAATAGGCCGAAGAAAAAAGTTTCTTTGTTATTTGTTTGTATAAAATTGAAGAAAAATCTCTTTGGTTGTACTGTTTGTATCTGGCTGGTTTTAATATCAATACATATAGGACATTAAGAAAAAGAAAAATGAAAAGTAAAAAACACTTTCCCACGATTTTTCAATTGTTTTTCTGTCCGCCAAAATGAGTTAATCTAAAGAAGAAATTCGATATATTCTGAAGTTTTATTACAAAAAAGGGGAAAAATGCGACTCAAACCGTGAAAAAAATTTGTGACGTTCATGGACCTAATGCAGTGTCAGTAAGAGTAGCACAAAGTTGATTCAAGCGTTTTCAGTACGGGAATTTTGATGTCAAAGATACATCTCGGTCTGGTTGCCCTCAAACCATCGATATATATTATGTACTACGCGCTAGATTTCGCATTCCCAACATTCACAATGTTCAAGTGAACTGTACTGCAATTCTTACACCTTACTTCAGTGTCATTTAGTGTGACTTCAATATTCATGCAGTGTGGGGCGGCGCTAATAATACGTTGTCAAATAGCTAAAATTATTTGTTGTTCAAGTGAACAAATATGTAATAATATTGTAATATTAAAATCATAGACTAAAACATGCAGATATTCTAGGTAAAATATGTATATGTATATGTGTATGTACTTGTATACAATAACATTTGATTTTTTATTTTATTTGTTGAGCTGGAATAAACGCAAAACAATTCATTTTCTTTTAGTTTTCTGCAATGTTTCCTTACAAGTAATTCATAAAGCACAACACCCACCCGACTTACGAATGACGACCGAAACCTTATTATTATGTCACAATTTCATTTTAATAATTTTTTTTGAATATTTTAAAAGATAACGATGTAAAATATAAAAACATACATTTATTATCAAAGATCATTTTTATTACAATTTATTTATAATTAACTATACAATTTTAATTAAACGCGATAGAATCCTTAAAAAATAGTTTTATTCAATGTGTAGTGTTCGCGTAAATATAAGAAATCATTATACAATCTAGATAAACAATTATTATATACTGATCATTCTACCTACGTATACCTAATCTATGATGACAAGAACTGACAGCAGCGTAGGCTCAACGCGCTTATATCAACTGCACATGCGTGACTGCGAGGTGGCCTACCAAGTTTGTCAAATCAACGCATCGACTTTAAATTCAACTATCGATTAATACAATAAAGTGCGTTAAAGCCCACTTACGGTGGGACTTACACATCTTCAAGACAGCTCGTATTGAAGAAGCGATC